TGGACTGGGTCTGGAGGGGTCCCGAGTGTGACAGAAGTTCTCACTCACATGCCTGGCCTGGGCCTGGGCTGGTTCTGTAGGGGTTCAGAGGGGTCCCGAGAGCAGGGCTGAAGGTCTCACTCACATGCCAGGCTTGAGCTGGTTCCAGAGGGGTCCAGAAGACGCAGGAGAGAACAGAAGCTCTCCCACACACTCCTGGGTTTTGATATAAAGTGGTGTAAAATGGATCTTTTAAAATAAAATCTAACTCATATTTAGAAAAATATACATGCCTAGATGACAAAACACAGGCTTCCTTTCACCCATCAAAGGCCATTAGGTCAGTGGCTGCTCTTAAGACTTGGAAGACAGGTTTCACCAGGACAGACTGGTTCTGATCCTCCGCTGCATTGTAGAGGAAATGTAAAGCAACTGTGGTGCGTCAGTTTCCTTTCTGGTCTGATCCTCCTCTGGTGAGGAAGCGACCTTGGCTCTTGAGATTGCCCACTCTTGCTTTTCCAGGCCGGAATGATGACTCGGGGGCAACTTGTCTATAACTCACTGAGCAGAGAGATTTCCCCAGCACCTTCTGGTGACTCTCCATTGAAGCCAATAGCCAGTGGGATGTTGCCCAGACACAGCTGGATTCCCCTCTGGAGACAGACTTTCGGCTGTGCACTGAGAACACAGAGAACTGAGGTGTCAAGGCCAGAGCTTCTCTCCAGTGGAAACCAAAAGGCTCCTCAGTGGAAACTGGTTTCTGACCACAGAAAAATCTCTACTTACCTATCATATTTTTCTTTCTTTAATATTAAGTCGGAAACCCCAATTTTTCTCCAACTTGTTGGAAGTTAACTTTAAAACCACCTTGTCCTCAGGCTCCCCATCCCTCCAAAAATCAGGCTGAGGCAACTTGCAGTAACTATTGGCCTTTCATGGAAGAAAACTATCAGGGGAATGATTTACATTTGGGCCTTACATATACTCACAGATAATAAAGACATTTTAGTTGGTCTTTTTCTCTCATGTGTGCAAAGAAGAATAATAAATGTGCTTTCACTAACATGACTGCTAGATAAAAAATGTTAAGTTCAACTTGGGAGCTTAAGACTTGTAAAAATGTTTAAATGGACTTAAAGGTGCAGCCTTGTCTTGCTGATAGATAAGGTTGCCTAGGTGATTAAGTGGGTAACACAGGGGACCAGGGAGATAGCTCAGTAGAATAAGTGCTTGCCTAGCAAACACAGGGTCCTGAGTTCAATCCCCAGTACCTAAAAAAAAAAAAAAAGTAACAGAGCCTTGGAGGTTTCTTCCTGGGTGAAATCCTCCAAGCCATTTGTCCCTTTCCTCTATGAAGGTGGCCTCCTGTGCAAAATAAAAGGTGGTATCCTTGATCTATTTGCTTACCCCCTTTCAAAGACTTAAAAACCTGTGGTTTAAGATAAAGTAATGCTTCCTTCTTTCAACATTACTGTCACCATTGAGACCAATGCAATTTGTGCTTGTAAGTGTCCTACAGGAGTAAGTTCACTTGTTCCCTGGGAAGAAGAAATTGTACATGAGCTTGAGGGCAGGCAGGCTGGTCAAATTTTGTCTTCTGCTCTCTGTAGATGACATCCACCTGCCCTGGAGTGGAATCTACCTGAGGGACACCATAAGATTATAGAAATCAAACAGAAATTAAAGGGGATGCCCGATTCTTTCTATTTCATCTGGAGAGCTCAATGTCAAGGTCTCTAACTCCTGCACAGCCTACCTCTCCTCACCCAGCCAAAAGGAATGCAGAGGGAAGTATTAATTATGATGCTATTTTACAACTAGAATCCCACTGTAAAAAAGAGGGGAAATGATCAAAATTGCTTATATTCAAGCTTCCTTTACATTGAGAAGTAATTCTTATTTATGCTCAAAGTAAATTATAATTCATATGAGACTGCCTACATTTGTGTCTCTTTCACTCAGTGACTTAAAACAGATCAAGGTAGAGCTAGGAAAATTTTCAGATGATCCTTGCAAGTACACTGAGGTCTTTAGAGGATTTAGTTAGACCTATAAACTAGATTGGAAAGATATAATATTAGTCTTAAATCAAACTTTGCCTTCTAGGACCAGCCAAATAGCTCAGCGGGTTAAAGCACCTGCAAGCAGGCACAGGGGCTGGGGGTTCAATCTCTGGACCTGCTGTGCCGGTCCTGCCCTCAGGGTGCACTGAGATGACAACTGAGACTGGGTGTGGTGGCATGCGCCTTGGGAGGCTGTAAACAGGAGGATCACTATGAGTCCTATCTAGTAGTGAGACCCCGAACACCCTCTAGACCCTTCCGTAAAATACAAAAAGTAAAATAAAATAACAAGAAAAGCAAAAAAAAACAAAACCCTTGACTTCTAATGAGAGACCAGCAACAAACACTGCAGGCTGCTATTGCATTTGAGAATGAATATCATATTGTTAATTCCAGAAGACCAGAAGACAGCCAGGAAAACGACCAGTTCCCTCTGGAGTCCAAGCAGTCCCTACCCAAGATGCCTGCTGGTTTAACAGCCAGGCAGGACACTGGAACAAGAGACATTTTCATGTATTCTCAAAGGTCTAAGAAGGACAAAGATGAGGCCCTCTTTTAAACTGTCAACTGTTTATCAAGCAAAAGGTGAAACCCTTGCCTTCTTAAATCATTTATGAAAGGCAATGACAAAAAGACTCCCATGGCTCCTGACTCAATAGGACACATTACAGTGAAAGACATACTATTTACCCAGCCAGCCCCAGATATTAAGGAGACGTTACAAAAGCTAGCTTTTGCTCCAGCTAGCTCACTTGACACTTTAGTAAAAACCACCGCCTTAGTATTGTATAACCAAGACTGGGAGGAAGCCAAGGAAAAAGCAAATAGACCAAAGGTGGCTGCTGGGACCGGGGTTCAATCCTCGGCACCACATACTGTGCCAGCCCTGTCCCTGGGAAGTGCTGAGCTGGTCACTGAGTCTAGGCGTGGTGGCACACGCCTGTAATGGCAGCACTGAGAAGGCTGAAAATAGGATCATGGAGTCTAAGCTGCCTTGTGAGATCCTGCAGCAAATACATTAAAAAAATAAATAAATAAATAAATACAGACCCTAAGTCTACTAACCTCATCCACTATGTTGCTAAGACAGGCCATCTTAGAGGGACAGCCTTAGTGGCCTGACTGCACAGGCGGATACTGGAGGGCAGACTGCATTCTGAAGTAGAGGACCCAGGGCTCAGATTCACCCTCCCAATTGGTCTAGTGGGACTAAGGGTCACAGGCACTCTGCCTCCTCCTTCTGGCCTGACTGCCGTCGCTGTCCTCCCCATGATGGAGCCCTAAGGAATCATGACTACAGGAAAAAAGGAAACCAGCCTGTTGCTGGAGGTTGTCACATATCTCTTTGCCCTTTTCAAGCCTGGCCTTCTTTCTAACCATCACACCTCAAGAAAGTCACAAATAAAAGGTAACTCACTTATGCTGGAATAACTTTCTCTTCACCCATTCATTTTAGTTAGGCCTAGAAGCCCTGCTCCCAGCCTTGGGAGAAATATTTGATTCTGTCTGATACAAATGCTGGAGGGGCTGTGAGGAAAAAGGAACCGTTTTCTCCTGTTGGTGGGAGTGCAGACTGGTGCAAACACTGTGAAATTCAGGGTGGAGATTTCTCAAAAAATCATGCTTAGAGGTGCCATTTGACCCAGCTCTTCCCTTTCTAGCTATCTTCCCAGAAGAATTAAAAGCATCACACCACAGCATTATGTGCACCTATGTTTACAGCAACACCATTTGAAACAGCTAGATCTCAGAAACAACCCAACAACCCATCACCTGAGGAACAGATCAAAAAGATGTGGTCTTTTTATACAATGGAGTACTACTCAGCCACAAAGGATAAACTGGAGACTTTTACAGGTAAATGGATGCAACTTGACACTACGCTCAGTAAGTGAAATAAACCAGATGTACATGTATAAACATGGTAGTATCTTCCTAGTGAGAAACTGAAAGAGTAAACAAGACCCAAAATGTGCAATAGATATTATAAAATGGGAAGAAACTATTCAAAAGTAAATAGTTTAAAGAAATTGAGATGTAGGAAAAGAAAAAAGGAAAGGAAAGGAAAAAGGGAAAAGCAAAAAAAATATATAGATAGATCCCCACAATTTCTTTTTGCTCATTTATCTGTGTTTTCACACCTCTTATGAACCCATCCCTCTCCTTTTTTCTTTCCCTCAGGTCTAACACATTCACGGCCGGGTGGTAATTCCCGTCTCCTCTCTCACCATTGTGGCCTCCAATGTGAACACATGATGTCCCATAGGCTTGAACCTTGGTGGAGCAGTGCCACCAGGTGGTACCAGCTGTCCCACTGGATGGTCACATAGGTTGCACTGTGGTTCAAGACAGAGGGAAAATAGACCACATCCAAGGCAGACATGATGGGCCACACCTGCAGTCCCAGCACTTGCCTGTACTCCCCACACTAGGGAGACTGAAGCAACTCATCACAAATTCCAGGACTACAGAAACCTTGCCTCAAAAATAAAGAAAAACCCAGATTCAAGTTTTTGCTTCCTCAGAAAAGCTGCCCTTACCTGGCTCACTGCTCCCAGCCTGCTGTTGCATTTCTCTTCAAAGGACAGCTCTACAGAAAGCTTGTAGGGCCAGGCACACTGGTGTGTGATTGGTGGCATACACCAATCATCCCAGCAATGGGCGGCTGGCAGGGGGATCACTGTGGGTTTGAGGGCAGCCTGGGTGACATAAGAGTTGAAGGCCAGCCTCAGTTATGCAAGGAGCCCTTGTCAGGGACGGGGGAGGGAAGGACAGCACTGGACTGACTGGACTGTTTCTATTCCCTCCCGTGCAGGTCAACCATCTTGAGAGTCGCAAAATCAGCCCAAGTGGAGACAACACCTGTATTACCAGCCTGTGGGAAGATAAATCTGGAGCCTCTCAGCAGACAAGGGTGCATGCCTATTATCCCAACCCTCAGAAGGTTAATCTGGACAGAAGTGAACCAAAGCCAGCCAGGGCTAGAGTTGATGATGAGCCTAAACTACAGAGAGGCACACCCACAAAAGACCAGAGTTGCAAAATAGGATAAACCACTCCAATCTCCATTTTTCTTAAAGTCATTATCTTTCCCTGCCCCCAGTACAGAAGACAGACTCCTGGGCCTTCGTGCTCAGCTACACACCCAGCTCTTTTTTCGTTTGAGACAGCGTCTCACTAAGTCACTAAGTTGCCCAGGGTGGGCTTGAATTCGAGCTCCTTCTGCCTTAGGCTCCCAGAACGCAAGGATTCGCAATGTGGGCCACCACACCTGGCTCACATCATTACCAAATTAGACAGTGTTGAGAAGCCAATCCCACTTACTAGCCGTGTAAGTATCCCTTAAGCAACCCTCAGAGATGCAGTCACCTGTAGTGATTCACTGGTCCACAAAGTCCAAGAGAGAAGGCACGCACAGGGCTCGGCACAGGACTTTCTTGGGCAGCTGCAGAAAGCCTACCCTCCCCGGGTACTCTCTGTGCCGTGACCTGTGGCCTAGGGGAGCAGCACACTGCAGCTGTAATATCACCTTACCACGTAGGGACTTTTCTGAGCCCCATTTTACAGATAAGAAACTGAGGCCAAGTTAAGCAACTTGCCCAAAGTCGGGGTGGGAAAGGGGCGAGCCGCACACTCAGCCACGAAGCTACGCTGTTATTTTAAATAATAAAGCACACCGAGAGAGCCACAGAGGGAAATCTTCCGTGCAGCTTGCTCCGAGTACTCCACGGTGCTGTCTTCCTGTTTGCACTTCTCACTTTCTAGCAACTGCAACCTGCTTTCTATTTTCATCGTGCACTGAACTAACTCAAAATCACTAAGGACCTCCTAACTAGAGATTATTTTCCTTGACTAAAGTGCGAGATGTGTTCTCCCCCTTGTGGCTCCCGGAACTCCCGTGTCCCCACTGAGAACATTCGAGGTGTGTTACGTGCAGTCATTGCGCTAGCAGAGCTGTTGACACTGCTGGGAGATGCAACAGAACCAGACTACCTAATTAGGGATGTGTGTTCCCAAAGAATTAAAATATATTACACCACCATGTCACATGCACCCATATTATAGCAGCACAATTTGTGATAGCTAAATCTTGGAGACAGCCCAAATGTCCATCAACTAAGGAATGGATAAGGAAGATGTGGTTCTTTTTTTAATACAATGGAGTATTACTCAGCCATAAAGAAGAATGTGCTTGAGATATGTATAGCTAAATGGACATACCTTCAGATCGTACTGGTAAATAACATCAATCAGACACACATGTTCAAATATCACAGTTTCTCTGTGCAAGAAATTCACTGTGTAAATAAGGCCCCAACTGCATAACAGATACTGGGAGAAGGGAAGAAAATGTTCAAATGAAAAAGGGGGGAGCCGGGGAAATGGCTCAGTGGAATAAGTGCTTACCTGGCAAACACAAGGGCCTGAGTTCAATCCCCGGTTCTGAAAAAAAAAAAAAA